CCTTCAGGTCAATGCATTAGTAATGATATATATATATATTGTAGTTATGTGTATATGTGTTTTATTAATTATAAATTATTTTATTTTTAATATATATATATATATATATATTTGTATATATGTGAATTTATATGTATATATTAATTTAAATACATGTAGATGAATATTTGAATATTTAATAATATTTTTGAATGCTGAGTCAACAGTTTTTTTGCTGAGTCAACAGTTTTTTTTGCTGAGTCAACAGTTGCGTTTGTTTGATTTGGAAAAAATTTAAAAGTTTGGGTATTTATGTGGGAGTTTTGAAAAGTTTAGGTATTTATATGACAATTTTATAGTTCAGGTATTTATTTGGGATTTTTGTAAAAGTTCGGGTATTTTTATACCATTACCCCTAATAATAATAATAATAACTATTGTTATTATAATTGACCGAACTCAAGGTGGGTCCAATCCAATATTGTAGGGGTACTTCGGGAAAATTATGGGTTTAGCTGGCGCGGGGTATATTTGTCTCTGCAGACCACATGACTCCATCGGTACTTTTGGAGTGAAATATAAAAAAAAAATACATGAAAATATTAATTGACTTTCAGAAAACTCCGTTAATAAATTTGTCTCACTTTATTTTTTATTAATTACTTTATGTACTTTTTTTATATATTTGCTTTCTGGCGCGGGGTATATTTGCACATATATATATATATATATTTGATCTGTAAATAATCATGAAAGGCTTGACTTTTAATACTCTCGGTAGATGGACACTTCATGGTTAATACATTACTACAACGAGTCGGACGATAGAGTTTAGTTATAATTAAAATAGATTTTAATTGCAGAGAATGCTGTAATTATACGGCTATCTGTCGGTTTGAATGTTATGTTTTCTGTACATACATATGTATGTATATATATGTGTGCGTGTCTGTTAGTTTCAATTATTTTATTCTATATATCTTGATTTATTCAATAAAAAAATATGATGTATATTATTCCATCATTTTTATCATATATTATAATAAAACATTTTGATTAAGTACTTCACTTTAAATTTTATATAATAACAAATTTTATATTATTGCTTAGATCTTACCTGAAATCCTGTTTTTACTAGGGGTGACCATTTCGGGTTTCGATTCAGGTTCGGTTTGGTTATATTCGGGTTTGGTTATTTCGGTTATAGAAAAACTATAACCATTTGGTTTTTACATAAATTCCGGTTCGGTTCGGTTCAATTATTTTTCAGTTCGGTTTGGTTCGGTTTCAGTAAAAAAACTCAATTTTTTCAAAGAAATCATCGGTTTTTTGGTTATTTTTTATCCGGTTCGGTTCGGTTTTGGTTTATTCGAGTTTAAGGAAATCATAACCGTTCGATTTTGATGCCGGATTCGGTTCGGGTACGATTATATCTTATTCGGTTCAGTTCGACTCTGTTTTTTAAATCTATCCATACAACCGTGGAGCACTCTTCACTGCTCTGGTCGTCATCTATGCTCTGACATCCGGAATCGCTGGCTACACAGCAGCGTCTTTCTATGGTCAACTCGAAGGAAAGAACTGGGTAAGGCCTTGTAACGTTTTTAACACAACTGGAGACGATAAAACATTTACATAGATATATATTTCTGACATTCCTTTTGATCAGGTGAGGAATTTATTGCTGACCGGATGCCTCTTCTGCGGCCCTCTCTTCCTGACCTTCTGCTTCCTCAACACAGTCGCCATCGCTTACAACGCTACGGCAGCATTGCCCTTTGGAACCATCATGGTGATCGTCCTCATATGGACACTTGTCACATCGCCGTTGCTCGTGTTGGGCGGAATTGCCGGTAAAAACAGCAAAGCCGAGTTCCAAGCGCCATGCCGAACCACAAAGTACCCGAGGGAGATACCGCCATTGCCGTGGTACAGAAGCGCAATTCCTCAGATGGCGATGGCTGGTTTCTTACCATTCAGCGCCATCTACATAGAGCTGTACTACATATTCGCCAGCGTGTGGGGCCACAGGATCTACACCATTTACAGCATCCTCTTCATCGTCTTCATCATTCTTCTCATCGTCACTGCTTTCATAACGGTGGCTCTCACCTACTTCCAGCTCGCAGCCGAAGACCACGAGTGGTGGTGGAGGTAAATAATACATTTATCCAGTATTTTTAAATAATGATGATCGAATTTCGTTGGATTATAACAATAATGAAATGGGGGGTGGGGGGCAGGTCATTCCTGTGTGGAGGATCGACGGGGATGTTTATATACGGGTATTGCGTGTACTATTACTACGGGAGATCGGACATGACGGGATTCATGCAAACGTCGTTCTTCTTCGGGTACATGGCCTGCATCTGCTACGGCTTCTTCCTCATGCTCGGGTCCATCGGCTTCCGCTCGTCCCTTCTCTTCGTCCGCATATTTTTTTCGATAAAACAAATTAGAAAATCACTCAAAGGCTGATCACCAATCCGATTACGCAAAGTTATTTTAACATGACTAAAAACTGTCATATAAATGAGCAATTTTGAATTTATTCCGTTAAATAGATCATTAAATTTTGGACACTGTAAATTTTTTTGAGAAATTTCTCAATAGATTTCTCTGTTAAATCAATTATGAGATTTGTATAAAAACAAATTTATTAATATGATAGATATTTAGAAATAAATGAATAAAAGATAAAAAAAATATTTAAAATAAAATCCAGAATACTTACATATTTTTGTTGGTTTTAGTTTTTTGGATTT